CCTCTCCAGCTTTCCTGTAGGCCCTTTAGCTGCTGAAAGGCTGCTGGAAGGTCTCCCTGGAGCCTTCTCTTCTGCAAGGCTGAACAATCCCAATTCTCTCAGCCTGTCTTCAGAGGAGACATGCTGCAGCCTTTGAATCATCTTCGTGGCTCACCTCTGGATCTGCTCCAACAGAATCATGTGTTTCTTGTGTCGAGGACCCCAGAGCTGAATGCAGCACTGCAGGGGGGGTCTCACGAGAGCGGAGTAAAGGGGCAGAATGACCTCCCTTGATCTGCTGGCCATGCTGCTTTGGATGCAGCCCAGAACACGGTTGTCTTTCTGGGTTGCCAGCGCACATTGCTGGCTTATGGTGAGCTTCTCATCAACCAACACCCCCAAGTCCTTCTCATCAGGGCTGCTCTCAGTCCATTCTCCGCCCAGCCTGCACTTATGCTTGGCATTGCCCTGACCCACGTGCAGGACCTTACACTTGGCTTTGTTGAACTTCATGAGGTTCTCACAGGCCCACCTCTCAAGCCTGTCAAGGTCCCTCTGGATGGCATCCCTTCTCTCCAGCGAGTCAACCACACCACACAGCTTGGTGTCATCTGCAAACTTGCTGAGGGTGCACTCGATCCCACTGTCCATGTTGCCAACAAAGATGTTAAACAGCACTGGTCCCAGTACTGACCCCTGAGAAACACCACTCGTCACTGGCCTCCACTTGGATGTCAAGTTGTTGACCACAACTCTTTGAGTGTGACCATCCAGCCAATTCCTTATCCACCTAGTGGTCCATCCATCAAAACCGTATCTTTCCAGTTTAGAGACAAGGATGTCATGCGGAATACTGTCAAATGCTTTGGACAGGTCCAGGAAGATGATGTCAGTTGCTCTTCCCTTATCCATCAAGGCTGTAACCCCATCGTAGAGGGCCACCAAATTTGTAAGGTACAATTTGTCCTTAGTGAGGCCATGTTGGCTGTCACCAATCACCTCCGTTTTTGCGATGTGCCTTAGCATAGTTGCCAGGAGGATCTGCTCCATGATCTTGCAGGCACAGAGGTGAGACTGACTGGTCTTTAGGTAATACCCTGGCTCTTCTTTTTTTCTCTTTTTAAAAATGGAGTTACATTTCCTCTTTTCCAGTTGGTGGGATCTACACTGGACTGCCAAAACTTAGTAAATATGATGTATAATGATTTAACAACTTAATCTGCCAGTTCACTTAGGAGCTGTGGATACATCTCATCAGGTCCCATGGACTTATGGATCTTCAGGTTCCTTAGATGATCTCGAACCTGCGCCCAAATGAGCTTGTAGGGGACTGTCTCCTATAGGAAAGGACCCCACACTGCTGGAGACTGGTGGCAGAAACACATCTGCCATCCTTATGAAAGGACTCATGTCAGAGAATCTCATGGAGAGCTCTCTTCTGTGGGAAGGGACCCTATGATCACAGAATCACAGAATCTCAGAATGTCAGGGATTGGAAGGGACCTCAAAGGATCATCTAGTCCAATTCCCCTGCCTGAGCAGGACCACCTAGATCAGATCACACAAGAATGCGTCCAGGTGGGTTTTGAACATCTCCAGAGAAGGAGATGCCTCTCTGGGCAGCCTGTTCCAGTGTTCTGTTACCCTTACTGGAAGAAGTTCTTCCTCATGTTTAAGCAGAACCTCCTACGTTCCAGCTTATATCCATTTCCCCTTGTCCTATCATTGGATGCCACTGGGAAGAGCCTGGCTCCATCCTCATGACAGTCACCCTTTTCACGTTTATAAACATTAATGAGGTCTCCCCTCAGTCTCCTCTAAGCTGAAAAGACCCAGCTTCCTCAGCCTTTCCTCATAAGGGAGATGCTCCACTCCCTTCATCATCTTTGTGGCCCTGCACTGGACTCTCTCAAGCAGTTCCTTGTCCTTCTTGAACTGATGGGCCCAGAAGTGGACACAACATTCCAGATGCAGCCTCACCAGGGCAGAGTAGAGGGGGAAGAGAACCTCTCTTGATGTACTAACCACACCCCTTATAATACACCCCAGGATGCCATTGGCTTTCTTAGCCACAAGGGCACATTGCTGGCTCATGGTCATCCTGCTGTCCACCAGGACCCCCAGGTCCCTTTCCCCTGTGCTGTTCCCCAACAGTTCAGTCCCCAACTCGTACTGGTACATGGAGTTGTTCTTACCCAAATGCAAGACTCTACACTTACCATCCAGCTTTTTACTATGCTCCTTTGTCTTGGTAATCCTGTCTTTAATACTAAGAAATAAGATTCTAGAGCAGATTGGCAGTAAAAGGGTAAAATTTATCCACAATAACTCAGAGATGCCAAATCTCCAACTTCCTGTGAAAGTCCTGTCCCATGGGTGGAATCCCATCCTCTGAGCCAATGCATGTCCCTCTTGTCCCCAAAAGTCCCACCACTCTGCTGGACACATGGACTGTTTATGCCGCCTCTTTTTGCCCCTGAGTTGGAGAGGTCACCATTTTGTAAAACATCATAGGACACATGTTCACAACATGTGCAGTGTTCAGCCTTGCAGCTGTGCTGCCCTAGGGAACAGCTTTCCCTTGGAAAGGGTTTGGGCACCCTGGATCAAGCCTCGGGCTCCTTCTCCTTGACACTTTGCCTTGGTAGGGGATAGAGATTGCTACAGCTGAGCACCAGGACAGAAGGTGTGTGATGTAAACTTTCCATAGAGCAGATGTCTTTTCTTATCCCAGGATGTCTCTGGAGAGGGCAGGATCAGCTAAACCTCTCGGCCCAGTGGAGATATTGGTGTTGTCTGGAAAAAAAAAAAAAAAAAGAGAAAACATTGATCTGATTGTTCTGAGCTACCTTGGGCTGCAGACAACCCTGGGAACCATGTCACCCCTAGATGATCCTGGTTCTTTACAGGGGTCATTTTTCTCACTTCTTATTTTTACCATAAATAAAAGACACCTACACATTGTGAAGAAACAGAAATATTGGGATCACAACAAGGATGTGAACCAGTAACAGGTGGCCCATCACAGTCCCTGGGGCGCAGCACCCAGGCAGGGCATGTGGGGCTGAAGTAGCTTGCTATCAGCCTTTAGCATCACTGGCCCTTTCCTGGGCAGTTGGAAGCGAAGGGATTGGTTCTTGCTACTGCTCTGGGACCAAGTAGCTGTGGGACAGAGAAGGATCAGCAGAGGTTGTGTCTCAGCAGTGAACCTGATGGACTCCTCTTGCAACATCCTCTGGAGTATGTAGGAAGGCTGCCACAATCAGCTCTATCAAGGCATTTCTGTCCCAGAAGAAGTGATTGATGACATTGGGACCCCAGACTGGCAGCCTGACCCTGAATACTGTAGAGGTTGAGATGAATACAGGGCCGATACCCTAAAAAGATGCCACCATGCAGATGCACACTCTGCTGTTCATGATGGCCATTAATACAGTGGCCATTTGCAACACACTAGAGGCAGGCAAATGACCTATCAAGCTCCCAAGGAACTTGTTGAAATGGTGGAGACCAGGATCCACAGTTCCAACCATCAGAAATCCTCTGGGCGTTTCTGATACTGTAGTGGAACAAACGTGGTGATCAAGTCTTTGGGTGCTATGTGATCAGGGCAGAGCATCATTCTCACAGTGGCCAAGTTGCCCTCAAATCCAGGATCTCCATTGACTAACTTAATTTGTGAAACTACTGCTGCTCCTGGGAAAAAAAGAAAGGTCATTCTCAGTGGCCTACATTGCACAAATATGTTTTTACATCATCTTGCCCACAAACAAACTGTCAGAGTTGCCTAAACGTCGGTCAGTTCCAAACTGCCAATTTCTAGGCGTATTCTGAGGTCTCCGGGAGCGTTCCCAAGTGAAGAACACTGTCTCATCATGTGAACAGAAGTCCCACTAGAGATCAGCCCAGCTCCCCATTGCCAGTGATCAGTCCTCAGCTCAAATGGTTTTCTCTCTTCCTGGTGTGAAGAGGCAATGGCCAGAGGCATTTCAGAGCTTTGAAAGCAGAGCAGCTGAAAGGCTCTATTTTGTTCCAGTGACTAGGGATGCAGCCTGCTGGTTAAAGTGATGAATCTTTTCCCATATGTGGCTTTCTTTTTCCCAATAGGTGCACAGCACCAGAGCAACTTCATTTATAGAAGTGTAAATGTTCACAGAACAGAAGACTTCATCTCACCTAGTTGCCCTTCTGCCTCTGTGTTCAGTAGAGTTTTAGTTAATTGTAGTGGGTTGACCTTGGCTGGCTGCCAGGTAGCCCACCAAGCCACTTTATCGGTCCACCCCCCTCAAATGGACAGAGACACAAAATATGATGAAAGGTTCGTAAGTTGAGATAAGCACAGGGAGATCACTCAGCAATTACTGCCACAGGCAAAACAAACTTGACTGGGGAATTTAATTTATTGCCAATCAAATCAAAGTAGGATAATGAGAAATAAGAACAAATCTAAAAATACCTTCCTTCCACTCCTCTCTTCTTCCTGGGCTCAGCTTCACTCTGAACTTCTATACCTTTTCCTCCACAAGTGGCACAGGAGGCATGGAATGAGGGTTGTGATCAGTTCATTACATGTTGTCTCTGCCACTCCTTCCTCCTCAAGCTCTTCCCCTGCTTCAGCATGGCGTCCCACCCATGGGAGACAGTCCTCCATGAACTTCTCCAATGTGAGTCCTTCCCACAGGCTGCAGTTCTTCATGAACTGCTCCAGCATAGGTCCTTTCCAATGCAATGTAGTGCTACCTTGTGGACAACTCACATTAGTTGAAGCTAATACCACTTTATCTGTCTGGAAAAATTTCTTTCTGGTTGTTGAAGCGTAGGAAGTGTGCCTGTAACACCAAGTCCTCCTTCCAAGAAGTTATTTTGCCTCTGGCCCAGATAGTTAAGAAAACTAAAATAGAATCAAAATAGGACAGAAAGGTATTTATATCATGTCAGAGGTACCAGATCTGCTCTCGTAACTCCTCAGACAGACATGAAGAGGCTGGATGATTCTCAAAGACCGACTCAGTTCTAGCCACCTATCTAACTGCAGTCATCCTTGTTATTTGGCCATAGAGAGCAAGTCGGGCAAAAAATGCCAGGAGGCCTGCATGGATGAACAAGGAGCCAGAAATGCCAGAAAGGTCACAGCACCCGGAGTTGATGGGCACTCCATCGCTGCTGAGAATGCTGCCAACAGCAGCAGAGGTGGAGGAGCCCACAACAGTGTTCTGTGGGAAGGAGGTGAGGATGGGTGCGGGCAGGATCACCACCACGGAAGAGGGCTGAATGACAACGGTGGAGTTCTGGCACTGCCTGACACAGGGCTTGTTGCAGCTATTGGCCAGGGGGGTTGGGCCACAGGGCTGGCATGGCAGGCACTGGTCGTAGCAGGACATGTCTCAGGGATGGAGGTGCACCTGGGAGAAAGCGCAGGAAGGAGAATGAATGAGTGTGAAGAGCAGCCTGTCTGCCCAGCACATGCTGCCGAGGCACAAAGAATCATAGAATTGTCTGGTTGGAAGAGACCTTCAAGATCATTGAGTCCAACCATTCACCCTGCACTGTCAGAGTCCCTAAACCATGTTGGTCAACACCAAATCTACAAGTTTTTTAAACACCAGACTCCACCACCTCCCTGGGCAGCCTGTTCCAATACTTCACAACCCTCTCTGTAAACAAATTCTTCCTGATTTCAAATCTAAATTTCCCCTGGCACAACTTGAGGCCATTCCCTCTCATCCTGTCATTCATAACGTGGGAGAAGAGACTGACCCCCATCTCCACACAACTTCCTTTCAGATAATTGTAGAGAGCGATAAGGTCCCCCCTGAGCCTCCTCTTCTCCAGACTAAACAGTCCCAGCTCCCTCAGCTGCTCCTCATAGGACAAGTTCTCTAAACCCTTCACTAGTTTTGTTGCCCTTCTCTGAACCCATTCGAGCACCTCAGTGTCCTTCTTGAAGTGAGGGGCCCAAAACTGAACACAGTATTCAAGGTGTGGCCTCACCAGTGCTGAGTATAGGGGGACAATCACTTCCCTGCTCCTGCTGGCCACACT